TCTACCGCCCTCCAGACCACCTCCACTACCACTTCAGTCCACTACCACTAACCACAACCACAACAGCCTCGTCTTCCCTCCTCTACCTCCTCTGCCACCTCCCCCACTCCCGACCAGCCACCATCATCAACCCATCCCGCCTGTCCATCTCTCACCACCCCCACTACCATCTCAACCACCCCTACCTCCACCATCACTATCATCATCACCCCCAATCATCACCCCTCAATCAACCCAACCACGATCACCTCTCCATCAACCGCCCCTCGAATCCATCCTCTTCTCCCCGCCATCAGCTTCACTCATCTCCCAACCTCTGCCCCCTCCTCCGCTACCACAATCTTCACCACCACCAACCTCTGCTTCCCCGATCATCAAACCCGAACCATTCGAGCTGTCTTCCGAAACCCATCAACAACTCTTCTCTCCTTCGGCTCCTGCTCCTCTTCCGACACGTCTTCTTCCCGAACCTTCGCTCTCTCCCGACTCGCTGCCTCTCGCTCTCGTAGCCCCCCCTCAACCTCTTCCTCCTCCGATCGCTTCAAGTCAACCTCCTCTGCCCTCCGTCAATGGCTTCTCTTCTACCCTCCCCGACCTTCTCCCCCCTTCATCTTCGTCTTTCTTCGTCGATCCTCCAACTGGCAAGGCTAAGGAAAAAGAATCGTCATCCAACAGAACGCGTAAGGTCGCTCCTCCTCGTCTCATCTTCGGTCTTCCCAATAATATCAACAACATTTCACAAGTGAGTACCAGTTTCTCTTCAGTAATTGGCTCTCTTATTTTTTTTTTGATTGTGAATTTCTTGTGGGTAGTCGTCTATTGGGCACTTGAATGGAGGCGGACAATCGACGCCGAAGACGGCGTTCAATCCAGGCCTTGGCTTACCCACTGGGTCACTACCCAGCGGGGTTACTCAAAGAGGCTGGAACGGGCAAGCCAGTAGTAGTACTACTACTGCAGTGGGGGGAGCAGCGACAGCGGAAGACTATACGGTACCGACCGACCCGATCTTCAACGTCCCCCTCCCCGCCCCGATCTCGGTCCCGCATGGATACCCCAAAACTCAGGGCGAAGTCAATCAGGACTTCTCCAAGACTAAACCACCCTCCTCTCAAGTGCCCATCCATCAATTTCAGAACTGGATCAATGACCATTATCTGCGCTCGTTCGGCGAAGACGACCTCGCGTTCTTGGCCTCCGAGTACTCCTCTATCAATGGTTGTCCCACCGTCCGCGTTCATCTTCCGTCTTCTCCCTCCTCTTCTAAACAGAAGGATAATCATCCTCAAGGAGAAACAAATGGAGAAGTTGAACATCAAAAGGAACAACAACAGAGGGATGCCACTTACGATCTGCCTCCGTTAGGCCGCCATTATTCGGAGCTCTGGCGGGACGAAGACCTCGGTCTGATCGAGCCGTCTGAGAAACCGACCCCTGGAGCAGGATCTGGGCCGCGTCTTTCGGGATCCTCTCGCGCCGACCTGGCGCTCCATAATCTCGGCACTGAGAACGTCCAGCTTGGCCCTTTCACCGAACGTCTTCTTGGATCCATCATCCCTCCTCCACCTCTCCCTTCTTCGGTTCATCTCTCTAATCATATTCCCGGTCCAACAGCTGCTACTCTTCAGCTCAATCCTCCTCAGACTCATCCCCTCGATCATCTCGAACTCGAACAGCGGGTGGCTAGTGAGCTTGGGTTGTTGGGAATCTTACCCGAGAATGGAGCCGTAAGCTTGACTCTTTTTTTTTTCCTTTCTTCAAATCTCCCAATTCTGTTTGTTGATTATGAAATGACTCGATGTTGAAATGAACAGAATGAATGGAAAGAAGAGGAGGCCGAAGACGACGAGATTTCGCGGATCTTACGACGGACGCAGAGCGTGTTACGGAGCCAGACGAAGATCAACCAGGCCCGGAAGGCGATCGTTCAGAAGATCGTCAAGGAGCGGATGAGTGTGCAGGAGTTTGAGACGATCAAGGACGGCTTGGATCGGCTCCTCGTCCAGCTCATGATCAAGAAAAACGCACTCCTCAACGCCTCGTTTCGGGTTCCTTCTGTCCACCAGACTGGGTCTGCTAATCATCTTAAGAAGGAGAAGGAGAAGAGTGGCAGGAATCATTTGAAGATCAAGTTGACAACCACTCCATCATCATCATCAACAACAACCTCCACAAATCCAGCAAACCATTCGGATAATCATTCGACACTTCATCCTTCTGACCATCCTAATAACAATCAACTAACCGTTCTTGAGAATAAGATCAAGAAATGCGACCAATCGATCGCGCTCACGTTGCACAAACGACGGATGTTTATCATGAAGGTCGCCCCGTTGTTGGTCCACCAATCTTCTTCTTCTCATCATCTTGATAGTAAGGGTGAGGGCGGGGAGATGGGGGATGTGGGCCGGATGGTTTCGAGGATCCATGCGCTGCCTGAGAGCTCGGTTTATGCAGATCTTGATCTAATGCTTCATCAGGATCATTCCTCGCTGCCCCGGCATCCCATCCCGGATCCGACTCCCAACAACACCAACCAAAATCTGAACTCACATCCATTAAACCCCCCAAATCCAAATCATAATCACCAACACGATTCACTCAAACCTCGCTTCCCATCTAATCCTCATCCAAATCCGTCTCATCATTTCAATCACAGGAATCACACTCATCCTATTACTACTACTACTACTAGTAATCAT